CTAGTTAAGAAAAGGAGTTGGTTTTTACTAGATCTTCACTGAACTATTAAGAACCATTAAGGAGTGACTTGCAAAAAAGATTATACAATCCAGAGAGTAAAACAATTCAAATATTAACAGCAAGATTCTGTTACTATACCCTACAACACGTGTGTCAAACTTGATCATGTCACGTGACGTATCATGACATTTTTTTGTCTTTGCAGAGCTGGGTTGGGTGTGGCCTGCACATGATGCATCTGACTCATGGGCTGCCAGTTTGACACCCCTGCCCTACAACAATAAAATAGCACTTCTGGAGCCCCTGTAATGTTTGTTTATTGACCTGACTATCTCCAAGATTGATATCAATTGTGCAAATTGGGCAGATGCTGAAGTTAAATTCATAGGACCAATAGAGCTCTTTTTGGGACTGTGGGACTAATTGCACAAATGTCCATGGGCATCTATCCATGGGCATCTCCCACAAGGGCCTGAGATAACTGTTTCAGACACAGGATACATTCATCAGCCTTTTGGACAGACTCTGATAAGAACACCTGCAGTAGCCTTGTATCTGGAGAGTGTCTGTTATTTGATACATTGTAACCACCCCTATATACGTCTTTTGATTATGCTGTGTGATGTAAAAACCTTAGTAACAATAAAAGAGGGTGCTGGAGTCAGCTCTGGGCTCTCATCCCGAGATACCTGTCTGCGTGTCTCATTCTCCATGGGAGACCACCACAGGGACAGCCACAGAACTCACTTCTAGAATCAGAACAGAGTCTTAGAACTTGGAACAAATTTTTAAATTCAGGATTGTTGATGTATTCTAAGAGAGTTTCTAGATCAGATGGCAGGCTACAAAACAGGCTCAAACCTCACCATCACATTGTGACTGGAAATAATACATTGTTCTGGCAAAGGAAAATGGAAAAACCAACTTATGGAAAATGGACCTGCCAGTAGTTTTATATCTCCCACTCTTACATAGATATATTCACTATGTTTGCCAGTAAAAGAAACCAAGAAATACATAGGGACAGAATTTTTCCTGAAATGTTTTAACACGAAGGGAGGGCGTTAAGATATTTTCTAGATGGAAAAGATTCCACAAGTCACATTACCATTAGGACATTCTAAACTAAAATATTTTAAAATGTAGACATTTTTACATTACAACTATCAGCCAAATCAACAACCTTGGTAACTGCTTTTTTTCCTCACACATTGAGGGGTCAACTATTTCTATTGCCAAATGGGTTAGGGTGCTTGCCTGACTAAGTTGATATACACAGAAGTGTCAAGTTGACACTACAAGTAGGATCTATTCTAGAGGAAAAGAAAAGGGATAGTGACAATTGCAAAGGTGCCTGGGAAATCAGCCAGGATGGTAGATCCCAATTTAACCTATGTTGCCTTGGTGGCATTAAGTCAGGAGATAAGGAAGGATTTGGTAGGTAGCATCAAAATAGCTTGGGAATGTCAGGTCAATGTGGCAAACACTTCAGTTAGCTTTTATTTGACATTGGGTCATATTGGACTCTTTACAAATCAAGAGTAAGGCTGAAATAGAACATAGTGGAGCTGAAGCAGGTTTATACCATTGCCAGTGGCTATATTGACTGGGCTGAGGGAATAAAGACCAAAGATATTGCTAATGCAGAGGTAAGGTGGTTGATCAAAGGCCTTTAGAACCTGAGGTTGGCCTTGCCCAGACAATAGAATGTCTAACTTTTTATGGGAAAAAAAAGAATAGCATAATTGCCACAAGGGTTGACATCTTTAATCTACATTTCTATTTTCTTTTAAAAAGTAGAAATTTAACATTACTTTATTGAGAAAGTAAAACCTCTCAAAGCTCAACACTGTACATATTTATCAGAAATCTTGGGGATGAAACGGGAAGGAGTAGCCTAAAAAGAAAAAGGACTTTTGTTTCAAAAGTCTCTTTTCCAATTCCATCTGTGACTGAGTCAATATACAATTTTAACCTATTTTGCTTGTCTATAAAAACAGTGAATTTTAGAAAAGAGGAATATGTAATAAAAATTGTATTTAGAAAAAAACATGTATTCTATTAAAAAGTAGCCCTTGTCCTAAATAATAAAATTGTGCAAATATTAAATAAAAAAGATGCATATATTTATCAACATATAACTACAGTTTCATAAATGTAAGAATCCACTCATTCCAGAAATTGCAGACTAAGAAAGATTTGGCTAAAAATATGTGTTATCCAGATACTGTCAGATCTACTAAAAACCATTGGCTGATTTGAATATGAGTAGGGTACATAATTCAGAAACAACACTTACAGTCAGACCATTGTCACATTGAAATGGTAGATTCCCCAGGACGCTTTTTACACATCTTTTTATGCATGTAAAAAGGAGCAGAGCTTTGATCATCTGGTCACACCTGCCTTTTTGTTGTTGTTGATCTGCTCCCACAAGTGGAATTCCCTGATAAAGCCATGTTCTCTGGCAATAATTGAAGTTCTGATACAATATCTCCAGATGGCAAGATTTTATGGAAGGGTTGCTATATATTGAGTTCTTCATAATTTTTAAATGATAAGTGCTGGTCTTTTTAGGTTACCCAACAATAGGTAACTTGGTCTTCTTAATCTTTCTCTTTATTACTTAAGTGACACAATCATCCAGTAATTGCTTCACATTACATTTACAGAATTTTCTATTAAAGCTTTGGTTCAAAACTGATAGTTTAAACTTAGCTTTATGGGGCTGCAGGTCTCAGTATACTTTGAAAATGAGGCCCACTGAAAAAGTAAACATAGGATTTATTTGCAAGTAGCATGTTTTAATGGTAAGAGTTTTATTATGCTTTGTTTAATCTCTCTCCCTCATTTTCTCTCCTTCTCTCAGATCATCCAATGAGACACTTTAAGTACTCTTCTGGATTTGTACTACAAAGGCGCAAAGCAGGTCACTTGAAGTCTCTTCATTTCAAGGTCCTGGGAACTTCTGGACATGTGTACTGGTGAATATTTGATCTACATGCTCAGAAGATATTTCTACCAGGATAGCTATTCACCATGTGTACGCTTAGACCTTGGTGTTTGAGTAATTGCAGCAGTTTGCAACTTTATAGTAATTTGCACAGCCCTAATATATTTATTCTCTCAAATTAAAAGTTGTTGGTTATGTTTCAACATCAGGTTTACCTATATTTATGATTTTCTCAATTAATCAAATATTTTCTGTTCACTCAGAATACCTGATCATGGACCATTATTTGTCATGGTAATCTACACTGTGGTAGGCTAGTTTGTAATTCAATATTTAATTAATTGCTTTACAATTAAGCAACCCTGTGAAGTTAATAGCAAAGTTATGACTACAGACATCTCTTTGCTTTCTACCAGTGCCACAAGTAATTTCTAGAAAATATTTGAATTCAAATGCCTCTCGAAAATTAGTCTATGATCCCAAATGGCTTTTTGAGCACCATTCTATCATTTCAGAGTTTGAGAAAATTAATCTGGTATCTGTATATAGTTTCTGTGTGCATGTGTGTGCTGGGGAGAGATGCATATGGGTACATATATATAAATTTTATTAAATATCAGCATTAGTTAGTCTGATCTCAAACTTTTACTCCTGGAGTGCTGATGCAAATAATGTTGATTTTTTTATAAGAAAGAAACTTTGAACATTCATAAATGGATTCCATTTAAATCAGTAGCTGTTGGGCGCAAACAATCAGATCCACACATGAAGAGTTCAATTACCTGCTTTATTGCTCAAGCCTATGTACCTATCTTCTCATCTTACATCTGGATAAGACTAGATAAAGATCAATGGCATTAAAAGGGTGGGGTGTCAGACTTCGCTGCTTGTGCCCACATAGGGATTCTAGACTAATCACCCACTTGACTCCTTTCCCACCTCAGCCAGTCTCTCTCCTACATCATCATTCATATATCTCTATTCTTCTTGAATTCCTGATTGTTGGATTGGAAGGAATCTAAAGGTCATTTGGTTCAATTTTTCTACATGGGATGAACTTCATTTTCCAGAGTGATTGGATATATTAGCAGTTGAAGTCCTATTTATCTGGAAGGCATCAGGTTGGAGAAAGCTACTTAGCCCTTTTGGTTTGGAAATGCCATTTGGAATACATGAAAAATGATCTGGTTTAGTATTATGTAGTAAATATAAATTGTTGCTAATTCTATAAGATCAGTGCACAAACAATTCTGTTAACATTGTCTATCAGTGTTTTCTCAAATTACATTGCAGCTGTGTATTTGCTAGGGAATAAATGTAATTGTAGTCAGTGGATCTTATTTCAAAGCCCTTGTGCTTAGCATGTCACCATGATGATCTCTTTTATAGCTTAAATGTTGGTCTACACTACACAGTACATTACACTTACTGGAATATTGGGGTATTGTGTTAATGGAAACAGTTAAGAAATAACAGGCATGTTAGAGCCAATGTAGACGTATTTGAACTTCGTGAGATGTAAGTAACAATGCTTTTTGGTATCTTTCTTAGAAGGATGTTTTCCCATTCAGAATTTAAATTGTTTAAATTTAAACTGTTAAGAGTATTGTTAACAGGGGATGGGCTCAGCAGATAATTTTCAACCATGCAGATTTTGCCTACATTAACAATACTTTATCGTTACAGGTCAATTTAAGCATCACATGGGAAAATGTCCTTATTACCAAAGCTGTTAATGGAGGGGAAAGCAGATGAGAATCAATTTTAAATTGAAGGGATTATAGGAAGGACAGCACCCACTTAGCTATTTCCTACGAAAAGAGTCTTAGTTGTAGATAGAATACAATTACATTGAACTTAAAAAGTGTAGGAAACAGGTGGACCCTGAGCAGAGACCTGTCCCCTTCACCCTGCTTTTAGACAAACTTTTATCCATCGGCCCGTGTCGGGGAGGGCAACTCACCCCTGAGCAGCTGTGCTTTCCAGCTGTGGACTCCATTTCCCAAGCTTCCTCCCTGCCCTAATGTATTCCGTTCTCAGGCCGGCTCTGTATTTGTGTGTGTGTGTCTGTGTGTGTGTGTGTGTGAGTGCGTGTGTGTTTGCGAGCGAGCGAGCGATCGAGCGCGCGCGTGTGTTTCAGCAGCTAGGAATCCCTGAGAGAGTGGAGGCTCATTCACTGATTAGAGGCTGCTTCGAGCGGCAGCGCTGCGCCTTCCCTGGCTCTCGGCAGCCGTGTCAGGCTCTCGCTCACTCCCATGCTGGCCGAAAGCGCTTACACACACACGCGCCGGGCTTAGTAAGTCCAGCTTCCCTCCCCACGCACCTCTCAGAATCTTGCCTTCCCCAGCCTGAAATCAAAAGGGGACGCCGCCTTCTGAGAAATTTGCACGGTAAGTATCTTGAAATTGTGGGCCGGGGGTTGGGGTTCTGATAGAAAGTCCCGGAGTGATGCATTCGTCGGGATGGGAGGTTTCTCTAATAGGTGCGTGTATCTAACTTTTCAGTGGTCGATCGCCGGAGTTTCGATTCAATTCTCTATCCTGATACTTAAAGAGAATTCTGCAAATTCAAGTTGGTAATGTTTCCAAGAGTCAAACTTTGCAAGTCAAGTTTGTCTCTATTTCGCTCCGCACCCCATTCTCCAGAACAAAGTTTTAAGGCAAGCCGCTGCTTATCGGATCTTGGGGTGGAAATGTTGGAAGGGGTGTGTGTGTGTGTTTGTGTGTGTGAATGTATGTAGGGAGTGGAATCTTAATGAGTATGCATTTAAAAATCAAATCAGTGGGGTGTTCCCTCCCGTCGGAAGGCTAGCCCTGATCCCAGAACTCTCCTCCTTCCTGTCCTGCTCTTTATTTTCCTGGGGAGGAGGTGGGTAATAGTACATACAGGAGGGGGTGGGATCAGGTGCCGGAGTTGAATTCTTGCAAAATGCAACAGAAAACAGCGCGTTCCCAATTAGCGCCATCAACATTTAGATTTTTTTCAAGGGGGGCAGCAATCCTTGTGCACACCACATGGAGGTATTTCCCGACTTTCGCAGGTCTCAAGGTCTCCTGATGTAACAAAGCAGTTTCCCCAAACAAAACCAAGCGGGAGAGGGGCACCTTAGGGGAAGCGCGAATTAATAAAAACAGTTATAAATAATTTTAAATCAAGTGTCATGTTTTAAACCCTGTGGTTTGGGGTTTCTGCATTTAGCTAACTTCTCGCGTACAATCGGCACCGTCTCCCCAAACGCTTTCAGTTTTACTGTAAGACGGGCGCGCATTTGAACTTTGATTATTGGCAATTAACCAATAGCAATTAAGGACTTGTCCCTATTTTGGTCCAAGTTCTTTTTCGTTGCGATAATTGTGGCGTACGTCAAATACTTATAATTTGGATGAAAGGTTGAAGTTTCGAAAACAACTTCCTTTCTTTCAAAAAGAATTTCACACGCCCGTATTTCTTGAAGAGACAAAAAAGTCTTGGTCGCTTGCCTGTTTGCAGTTATAGTTGCAAGAAACAGCAGCAAAAGGCGGTGTTGTAGTGTAGGGTGAGAGCAGTGGCTACAGCGAGCAAATCGCAAACCTGTTTGGAAACCTTGGAAGAAGGAAATGGGGAAAATGGAAAACGAACATTTTGGATTCCTGTAGTAAAACTTTATGCGCCTTTAACCTCAGAGGTTAAAAATCCTCGAGGTTTTAGGGTAATACAGCCGCCGTCGCAAGAAAGAGGCAGGAAAGTCAGCACAGAGGTTGCAAGGAAGGGGAAATAATTCCTCACCTTGTAGATCGAAATGCATAAAAACCATCTGCTTGAGCACAATGAAATCATTAGGCAGTGACCAATTCAGGAGTTGCGTTGAATGCTTTCGCCTTCCAGACAGGAAATGTGCAGAGAAGGGATTGTTGCAATAAATTCAAACAATTCGAGTCGTCCGCACGTTTGATGAGCTTTGGTATTTTTAAAAAGAAAATAAACCTTGAACCGAATATAGAAATCGGGACAGAGGGAGACAGCCTCCCCCGCACTTGTTTCCTGGAAGGGACGAAAATTTCGTTTTCTTTGCAATGCGCTGAATTGGTTTTGCGCTGAAGTTTACAGGCGCAAAGCAGTTGAGATTTCTGGCTTATTAAAAAGAAAAACCAAAAACCAACGACCGGGCACGGCGGGTTGAATTTGTTGAGAGGAATTACTTTTGATTTCCTGTATCTCCCAGATATACTTCTGGGACACTTCTCTTTTCCTTTTTTTTTTGTTGCAGTTAGTGAAGGTGGAAGGTCGGGAGTTTCCTTTTTAATTATCTTGTTTAAAAGTATATAAACCAGTTGCATTCTTTTGTACTCGGGCTAAGAACCCGGAAAGGACACCTGTTTTCATTTGTACTGAAAAAAGTAAGATAAAAGTAGGAATCTTTTCCCCTGCTGAAATTTGAATCACGGGATTTTTTTGTTTGTTTGTTTCTGTTGTTAATTAGGGATTTGGGAAGATAGCTAGGTAAAAGCCAAATCGATTATGTTTGGTTTTTTTTTCTTGATCAAGAAAGCAGTTTTGAGTAGTTTTCCCCCTCCCCCCCAAATTAACTTCTGAAAAAACTTAAGAATTTTCTGTATCTACTCTGGAGAGGGGCTGGAGAAAAATTCCAATTGTTGACAGGTCAGAGCAGCCAATCATTGCTTTTTTCATTCATATCTTTTTTGTGAACTTTGATTTTTGGAAAGGTTTTTTGTAAAGTTGGCAAACAATGGGTGTATTATACAGCCTTGGGAATAAAAATATGTATATTTACATTGCTTTTTCCTCCACAAAGCCTGGTACCTTAATTTTCTCTCAAGGTATTATTTTTTCTTTTTCCTGAAATAACAAGTTTTCTGCAGGAAAAGAGCCTCTCCCCCCCCCCTGCAAAATTGGAGAGAATCAAAGCAGCTGCTTTTCTGTTACATCTGGGAACCCGATTTTCTATTACATTTTTAAAAATAGTTATTCATACTTGGAAAGTTTCAAACCACAGAGATTATTCTTATTCTACCCTGTCTTCTCCAGCCACCCCCCCTTTTTAACTAATTGTTTACATTCTTTTTGTACCTTTAGAACTCTCAGTCTCCCAAATATTTAATGGCAAGATATGCCAACCTGTAGAATTCCTTAATTTAAGACTGGATTTTTTTTCTTTGTACTGTCAGATCCTGTATTTGTTGGGAATTTATTAGGAGAAAATCCAGTTTAGTTCAATGCATAACACATATGAGCTCTTTAATTCCCCCAACAGCTGGAATGGTTGCTTTGTAAAGATTAGGATTTTTTAAGCAGAAATGCATTTTCAAATTCCTATTTCTAAAATTATGTGATTTAGATACTTGTAGTATCTAAAGGTTCCCTCCAATATATTGAGGCTTGTGCTTTTTATGAAAAATAAAGTTAGTTTTACATTTTTTTTCTTCTGTTAGTAATAATCAGAAAAAAATCATAGAACTGTATTGTGCCATTTAAATATTTAAAATAGCTGAAAATTATAAAAATCTAACCAATATCATCAACATAGAATATCTCTTTTAATTAAGAATTTAAAAAACAATTTGTTACATAAAACTCTGGTTGTTTCTCTTCTCTAAATATATTTTTAGGCTACCACCTGTAGTTTAAGACTACCTCTCTTTTTATCCATTAATATACCGTAAACTGATAGTGTGATTAGAAGGATGCATTATGAATAGTTTTACTTCCTTTTGAAAATTTCTTAGCTAATTAAATGATTAATACATTTTAAAAAATTGCAAGTTGCACCTGACATAGTAGATTTCATTCTAGGTTTAGATGTTTATGATAGTGTTTCTGTTTGCACATTGATTCAGTTTGTACTTTAAAAAGATGCAGATGGTGAGTGCCCTTATGTTGAAATATTTTTATCCATAAATTAAGATGGAAATCTTGTAAAGGTAGGAAATCAGAATATAGACTTTGGAGAGTTGGTCTAAAGCAGATAACCCATGGACAGTTATATGTAGCTTCATAGATTTATCTCCACCCCCTTGGCCACCTCCACTCCTTGTTTAGTTAATTTAACAAAGACTTTTTGCAATCTGTTTGGAGTTTGTCTGATGCCATGGAAAAGTATCTGCTGATTTATTTGGTTGCTTTTCGATTTCTGTCGCTAGACTGTCTTTTCTCTTCCTTTCAGCGAGGATGTCAGCTGTTATTACTTCCTATTGATCCCTTTGCAAAGTGAGAAGTGAACTAAAATTAATGTCAATTCCACTGCTCGGATCAATAGCTGGAGTTATTTTAATCTGGATTTGCACAGGGTGCTAAATTAAAAAAAATCAGCATAGAGGCAAAAAGTAACAGTTACTTACTTTGGCTGTACCCATTCACTTCTGGTCACCAAAATATTTTTTCAGGCTGATTATCCTGCAATCTATTTTTTTTTTAAATTAAGTAGGCCAGTTTTGGATTCCATTTTTAAAAACAATGACGTTTTGACATTGGGAGTGCATTAACTATAGATGATTTTCATAATGACTAGTCTTGCCGCAGCTTCATCCATACTGCTTCTGATGATGGCGGTGATTGGGAATAATAGCCTGGGATGAAGTGATGACAGAAGGTACGTAATAGACAAGGGGAAAATGAAAATGAAAAGTATGCAGGAGTTTTTAAAAATAAAATTCAGTCTGAACCATTATTAAAATATGTTAATTTATTGTCAAATGAAGAAGATAGCTTAATGATTCATACTATTCTGTTAGGAGTGTTAAGCGTGGCTTCCATTAAATACATTTAATATAAACAGGGATAGTGTTATTAGTGATATATTCTTCTCCCTCTTTCATTCTCTTGCAGATTGTGGTTTCCAGATGCCAGTTTAAATAATGTTTCTTTCCCTAGGTAAATTATATATAATTTTTTGCTTTAAAATTAATCGAAGAATATCCAGATTTCCCATAACCTTTCTCCACTATTGCAGAGATTTTACATTTGATTATTTGTTATTTTAAATAATTTCATTGTTCAGAAAGAAGCTCACTCAAAATAGTTCTGGTTAGATTACCCTTGCTATGTCTACATCCACAGCTAAAACTCAGATGAAAATTATTAAAGATATGAAAGTGGATCAAAAATTGTTAATAAGATACTTCTAATGTTTTAGCACTGATTTGTACAGGAAAGGAAGCCAATGCAGTAGAGATAGGAGGATGTCAGTTCATCTTCCCACTGCTATATTGTCAAACTTCTGGGTACAGGATAGAAGAAAAGGAAATGTTATTTCTGAACTGCATGAAGGATGTAGCAAGCATTCCATAGAGTTTGTTAACCTGGGCTTGCCATTCAGATAATACAAAAGCCACTCCATTAGAAACGGGATCCTTTTAGTAAGTTTTATTTGCTAGGCCTGACCTTCTGGAACAAACAGACACATTTTGTACTGCTTTTTTATTATATGATTTTTTTTGTTGTGTTTTGAGTGCTGTAAGGCTAGTATATTGTTTTAAAGTAAGCCTTTGTATATTAAAGTGAAGTGAATTCTAGCATACTTAATGGCTGGGACAGAAATTTAAAAAGAAACAAAAGGAATGCTAATGTTATTATAATAGGGGAATGAGTTTTCAAGCCTAGATAGGATTAGAAGAAAAGTTTGTTAATACATATGCACATAGAGGAAGTATACGCGCGCGCACACACACACACACACACACACACAAACATACTGAGAGAGAGAGAGAGAGAGAGAGAGAGAGAGAGAGAGAGAGAGAGAGAGAACATGGGATTTATTTTCTTGTACTTGGCAAGTAGTTTTAAAAGAATACATACATACATACATACATACATACATACATACATACATACATATTCTCAAAATCTTAATGGAATGTTGAGGACAGTTTACAAATCTAGTTAAGCATGAGCACATTAGGAAGTAAAACTACTGATCCATTTTGTACTGTCCGCAAACTAAAAGGCAGATGCTTGGAAGAGATCAGATGGCACAGCCACTAATTACAATTTCAAATATTATCAGAGACGCCAAGGACTTATTGATGTCATTATTGTTTTCTTTTAAAACAGAAGAATAGCTTAAATGTATGATTCATACATATTATTTATTCCTCCTTCATCACTAAGGATAATGGAAAATCCAAAACATGATATATATATCTGCACAATTGGAATATATTCCTCTATTACATCTATTTCATATTTTTGTATATTCATGAAGTAAATACATTTTCATTTATAATTTTTGAATAAGTATTCATTTATTTTATTCATATTAATTTTAAGATGTTGTAGTTATAGGCTTATATACCTCAAGGAATTTTTTCTGTTCCAATATTTTTGTTTGGCAGGAGTGAAGTAATATAAGTTTAATTTTCACTACAGTTAGTTACTGCACACTTGTTCAAATCATTCAACCCCCACTTAAACATGTGGCTTGATCTGAATCTGCACTGGTTTCTTATCCTTCTGTAGGGCAGAAGGGAATGATAGTAAGGCCAGAGCAGATGGCATTCTCTGCATAAGGCACAGATTCTCTTGGCTTTCAGGTTTCTTGCGCCACATTTTATCTACCGTACCTAGGGTGGACCATCTCTTGAATTTTAAGTTTAATGCTAAAGCTGTAAAAGAGAGCAGGAGGAAGACTTGTACAGACCCTTAGAGGGAGTCAGAGACTCTTCCAGTAACATGTGAACTTATTTGTTGGCTTTCTAAAAGAACAATACGTGGAAAGTTGGCTTAGGCTTTTACAATTTTCTTGCTATATTAAGAACAGCCAGCTGTTAATTCAACTTTCTGTGTTTTTCCTCTTTTCCCCTTCTTTGTCTTTTCAGTTTTGGGATGGTGATAAGGATTTGGTGAGATCTCTCAGCTCTACATCCAGACATTGCTTTGTTTTCCATCCAGGGAACACCATTTCCCTCGTGGCCCTGTCAAGAAAAGAGACTCCAATGGACTTACACCGAGCAGCTTTTAAGATGGAAAACTCCTCCTACCTTCCCAATCCTTTGGCATCTCCAGCCCTGATGGTCCTGGCTTCCACTGCTGAAGCCAGCCGTGATGCTTCTATCCCCTGCCAACAGCCAAGGCCCTTTGGGGTCCCTGTGTCAGTGGACAAGGATGTGCACATCCCGTTCACCAATGGCTCCTATACTTTTGCCTCTATGTATCACCGACAAGGTGGGGTGCCTGGAGCATTCACCAACCGTGATTTTCCACCTTCGTTGCTGCATCTCCATCCTCAGTTTGCACCCCCTAATCTGGACTGTACTCCAATCAGCATGCTTAACCACAGTGGTGTTGGGGCCTTCCGTCCCTTTGCCTCCACTGAGGACCGGGAAAGTTATCAGTCAGCTTTTACACCTGCTAAGCGCCTGAAGAACTGTCATGATACCGACTCTCCCCATCTTCGCTTCTCAGATGCTGATGGCAAGGAGTATGAATTTGGAGCCCAGCTCCCATCTGGCTCCCCTGGCTCCCTCAAAATTGATGACACTGGAAAAAAGATTTTTGCTGTCTCTGGCCTCATTTCAGACCGTGAGACTTCATCCAGTCCTGAGGACCGAAATGATAGATGTAAGTACCTTAGCTTTTTTTAATTGGGCTGTTAAATGCTCAATAGGTAACGCTTCTGAATGCTTGAGGGTTCTAAAGAGGCCAAACTATATATGGCCTTATTTTTCTTTAAATATTAGTGGATTGCAGGAGAAGACAGATTGTAAAATATCTAGACAATTATTTTTTTTTCTTTTCTGCTAGATTGGGGTTCCATCTAGCAGAAAAACTGCCAACCTTCCAGAAAGAGGGAAAGTCTCTGTTGGAAGTATCTGACTCTACATTTATTTCAGGAGATTGAGGATAGTGTCTTTGTAAACTTGTCTTCCACCTCTGTCCTGATGTATTTGATGCCAGTTGTAACAAAATACAGTTCTTTTACCTGATATCAATGTAAAACATGTTTTTTTTAATTAGATCTGACTCCTAGTAAGGTAACCTAACTTCTGGCATTAAAACAGAGAAAGGAAAACATCTTGTAATGTGTTACACAAGCTGTACATCTTGCACTAATGTACAAGAATTTTCTGTAATACCCTCTATAAGTGCAAAAGTGGAATTCCAGGAGTGAAAATATTTCACAGACTAAGCTAAGCTGAACCCAATCAACCTAAGATCTACTGAGCGTTCCTCTCTACAAGTAATTTCTTTCTTATTAAATGCCGTGAGTTACCTCATTAGAGGAAAGTAGATCAAGAAGTATTTATTTAATATATCGATGATAAGGCAGCATTCAGGTCAGTCTGTTTTTTTCCCCAATTCTGTACTTTAGATATTAAACTAGTTTGCCCTACCTTGCTTCCCATTAGATCCTTTTGTAGTTTCTCATACTGCTTTGTCCCTTCTTCCATTTTTTTAAGAGGTGGTAGATGGAGAGAAAAATAAGGATATTTTTCTTTTGAAAAAAAAATTGGAGCACTCCGTGGTTCCCTGTTGGATACCATTTTTCTTCTTTTTCTTTATGACACCAAGGAGAGTAATAGAGACATAGTTCCACTCTCTCCCTGTCCGTACTGCTTCCTCAGGCTGTCTCCTTGAATTAGGCACTGTGTTAACTTCTCAGTGCTACGAGGCATCTGCCAAAAGCCTCCACACCTTGTCAATAAAAGTCACCATAAAATCAACCTGCCTTATAAATCCATCGCTCGTTGGTTCTGAAATATGCTATGAGTTTGTCTTTTATGTCAGTGTTTGTGTGGAATGCTTCCTCAAAGACGAAACTACATGTTGCCCTAAAGGCTTGTGTGCTTTTTCCGTAGTGTGGCTTAGCTGAGTGAGAACCACCTAAAAGTCCTGGTCTTTGATGGTTGAGTGCAACAATTGTGTCTGTGTGTGTGTGTGTGTGTGTGTGTGTGTGTGTGTGTGTTTGAAAAGGTGGGGAAAATAATAATAAAGTTTGAAAAGGTAAGAAAAGATAGAATTGCCCTGAGTAAAGATGTTTTATAATTTAAAACAGTATACATTACTAATGTAAATATAACAATTTACAAATATGAAATTAATGCAGATTATGTATATCGGAAGTCATGTTCAAAATGCTGGCTCAATTATATACATTTAGAGTGCATTAATTGCTTCATCTTGCTAACCTGCTCCTGTTAGATAGTGGTATAAATGAACAAATATTTTATGAACTCACACAACAGTGTTTAGAAAGTGATTGACTCAGAGGTAAACATGTGTTTAAATGTGGACACAGTTCAGAAGAAATAGGTTTTTCTATATAAATATTTTCATGAATTCTCAGATAATGTTTGGGGGAACCACATAAAACATATTTAAAGGATGAAGGAAATATATAGACTTTTACAAATGAAAATAATAAAAAAATACAGATAGGTTTTTGTATCTTAACAGCCTCCAGTCTATTCATTCTTGACATTTCCTTTCTTGGCTATGAAAAGTAAATCAAAATTGGTTTCAACTTCATTGAAAGCACACCAAAAGTAGCTTCATACCAACATGCCCAGGTAAAATATAAAATAGGTTTTACGCTTAGTACTGACTAAGTTAAATTTTGGGGGTGAACATTGACTTTATCTAGTTAAAACTTTATTTTAACAGTCATGAGTTTTAAAAGCATTTTATTATTTATCTGTATAAATATGTAAGTATCTATCTGAAGAGCAAACAAACCTGGTTATATGTAATTATGACCTTCAAATATCCTTGGCATGTTTAGGTCTTTTTTCATAGAACATATATTCTTGGGTATTTCAGAATCTGAAACAAGAAAACTGTACATACCCCATTTGTTAGTAGTTTCTAGAATGAGGCTGAAGATGGAGATAGTTTTCTGATGATTCCACTGTTCTGAATGGAACCAGAGGAATGCACACATATTCACATGTATGAAAATGTGGCATATCGGCTTTTATAAATTCCTAGCCCTTTCAAATGTGTTTCAGTTTTTTTATACGTATAACATATATAAATCTTTTTATGAAATAAGGTTTCTTTTTACCAACGTTCTACAATACATTTTAGAGAAATTATTATATAGACAAACTGACCTGCAAAATTGTATTGATGGACCTAGTAAAAACCATTGCATTAGCAAACCTTTATGTCTCCAAGAGACACTCTACAAAATATTTTGGCTCTATTTATTTGCAGTCTTCCATATACTGAAATGGGATCAGACTGCACGATGTGCAAATAACTTCAATCACAACATATAACATTCCTTGTCTGGCACCGGTAGACTCTATTCTTTCTTTCTTTCTTTCTTTCTTTCTTTCTTTCTTTCTTTCTTTCTTTCTTTCTTTCTTTCTTTCTTTCTTTCTTATAATTTCAGACTTGGAATTTTTACTTGCTGCTTCATTTATTTTTAACGAAAAATAATACAAAACAGCAAGCTTAGCTTGTGGAAACTGGGGGAGGGTTTTTTTTTTTTTTTAAAGGAATGCCATCTAAAGTCCAATGCTAATGGAATATAATGAAGGGCAAAGTGTATCACTGTACAAGTAGAGGTGCAGGCATCTCATTTTATTAGTAAGATACTAAGAACAATTCTGTATGTCTACATTCTCTGGAGACAAGAGTCTTATCTCTGTTAATTAGTCGTGTAAATCTAGATTGATTCCCTACCCACGTGAGAAGTTATTTAAGATTTACATTGGTTAACATTGCCTTGAGTCCTGCCTTCTGGGTATGTTTTAATCTTTAAAAAAATGACATAATATATTGAATTGAACCACAGCTGTTGTGCAATTTATATTTACAGATTTTATATTTTAAATATACAAAAGTTTACCCAAAATCAGTGACAAAATTGGAAGTGTAATGTGAATATATATATAGCTTAATTTTACAATCTGCTTCTTGGAATATTTCAGTGCATCAGTTCATGGTAAATGTTCTTCCTTTTGAACCCCTGTGGTCCAGAAAAGAACCCACAAGAGTTGCGCACAAAAGCCCTGAAGAATAAATAATTTATTTATGAAGATAAATATTTTATCCAGGTATCTATGTTTATATGTTCACTGAGAGCATTAATCACATGGAGGAAGATGGTTTACACTCCATGTGTAATGCAGAGGCATCTGCAGCTACATTCTATTGGATTCTTCAAATAATGATTTGACCCTAACATCCAGCTACAATGGATTTAAACAGAGTGTCCCTGTGTTATAGATCTCTAACTTTTAAAAATGGTGTTTTTATCCTCTAATTCCTATTTATGGTTTCATAGACTAATAATCAGAATATGTCCTTTCAGGAAAGAAAAGTGGAGTCCTTAACAGCAGCTGGGTCATGTACACCAAAATGTTCCACTGGCAAAAGCACTGCAGTTCTCCTTTCTATTTGCGGGAACTTCAAAAATTTGTTACTTTATACATGAATCTTTCCCAACCTCTTGCTCCCCATCCCCAATGAACTAGCACTATAAGGCTTGGCCTTTATTTTGAGTTTGCATATTGTGCTTATTTGAACTGTTTCCTCCCCTTTATTGCATGTATTCAAGTTTGGTTTATTGTTGATGAAACAGACTCTAATTTATGTGTTAGATATTTTTGCAATTTTGCTTCTTACAATTTATCAGCAGCGGTTTGCTTTTTAATGCTCCATAATGAAATGTTTTTAAATATGGTCAGTTTAAGACAGCTATGCATGATGGAGAGAGTCTATTTTCTTATTCTTACTTCAGTTTTTCTTACAGTTTTATATCACAGAAGAGAGTGAACTTTTTTGTTGGGCCTCAGTATTTGGACTGGTTTTGGAAATCACTTCAAGAACTTTGAAACTAACCAATGGAAATATTTAAGAAAAGTCAAAATGCTGTTGAGTTTAAGTTCCAAGTAGCAACAATTAATAATGTATTAATTCCTGGTTTTTCTTTTCTCTTAGCATATTAGACAACTGATTCAAGCTTCATCTTAGCTCTGGCTATCTCAGTAGAGCAGAGGCTGACCAGGTGTTTACACACTAGGGTCTAAAGTAAGGTGGGGGTGTATTCCAATTATCCAACATTCAAAATATATACATTGTTTGCTTGTTTTACAGTTATGTGCTGGATCTCTTTTTTTAAATAATTGATGCTGTACTTTAGGGTTCTTAAAAGAAGCAGAGTAAAGCCATCTTGTGAAAAGGTATTAGACATGATCTAACATCAGGTCTGTTTTTAAAACATAGTACAAAGGTATCCTATGGAAATGGCTGCATCTCTAATGGAATGGGTAAATGCATATCTGTGGTGAGTTTTAGATGTAGAAAACTATTACTACGTCTCAAGAAAAGAGCCGTTCTGATGGGCCATATTTTAGTAAGGAAATGGAAACTACATTTTTTCTGGTTGTCGGAGCCCTTTCCTCCTGCCTTATGGTCACCCATCCCCTTAGCAAACTGTTGCTGAATCTCCTTGCCATTTTGCTCTGTTTAATTGTGATGTTGGCATAAAGAAAGGCTTGGGCCGTTAACGTGGCGGAGAGCAGGGTGTGAGCTGCTCCAGTGCTGCCTGCTGCAGGACCATCTGGCCTGGCTTGCCTCCTCAGGTCTCTAGCTTCCCTTTCTCTTTATGT